AGTCCATTTTTGAAAAATGACAAAATATAACTCCTAAAACTGCTAAAGCTTGATGCCACTTCGTTTTTGTTTTTATTTCCAGAAGAAGAAGAAGACGTGTCTTCAGAGGTTTTTGTGTCGTTTCTTTCAGTAGTTCTTGGTGCAGCGCCCCCACAGGCGAGCGGGGGAATAGGTTGGTTCAACAGGTTGACTCGACTGCACAGTGCAGTGTGAATGCAAACGCACCAGCTCAAATGTAACAAAAGGTTATGAATATTGGTCCTGAACTGAACCGAGTCTACCGGACTATCTGGTGTGAAAACGACCTTTGTTTGGTTAGTGACCAAATGAATTTTGAATTAGTGACCAGGTGCAACAAGGACAATGTTGACTTAATGTCAACAAAAGAGAAGAGCTGGTTGTGGACATTAGTTCATCTGTTGGGACGATGATGACCTACATCAAGAATCTCAAAGAATTTTTTCTGGATCTCAATCCAGAAAATGCAACAATATACCGTTGGCCACAGAAATATAGTATAATAGATACAACAAAGTTAAGTCAGGTCCTCTGGACGGTTTCTTTTTGTTGACATGTTTTGTCTTTCATCCAAAATAATCCATCTGAGGAGCCACAACAAACTCAGTCTTATATACAGGTATAGCACCATCACATAGTGGGTCAACCAGTTTGATGGCACTAAGATGGTTTCTGGAGTCAGCCCTCGCCAACTCGTCTAAGGTAGCCATGGCCAAAGTTGTTCAAAACATTAAAGTTCATGCTCAATAATTCAGGTAAAAAATCCAGTCCAGAGGACTTGACTTAACTTTGTTGGATTTTTTTACCTGGATTATTGAGCATGAACTTTGAAGAATAATAGGTGCTTCCTCAGGAGGCTGTAGTGGTAGGAATCCTGTCTGCCTTTTACTAGGGTGCTACTGAGAGAACCCTTACAAGCTGCATCACTTATTGGTATGGCAACCAATGTGAGAGTAAGAATTTGTAATATGTGGTAAGAATGCCTGAGAGTCATCAGAGTATCACTCTCCTCCACAAGACCACCTTTGGGAGATGCAAGAGGAAGTCCTTCAGTATTGTGAAAGATGCATTTACAAAATGTGTCTTCTTTTCAATTCTTCCTATAAATGGGGGGAAAAAATCACACCTCCAGAGTGGTAGGCATGTTGCATTTACCAAATTGTAAGAACACCATTTTATTTTTAAATAGAAAAGTATATAAATATATATATAAAGTAAATAGTTGGTTACTGTAGGTGGACAATTGTTCTGCTTACTGAAATAAAAACTGTTTAATATTCTGATGGAAAAAGGAAGCAAACCTCAAAGGAAGCTGCGGGACAGTTAATGATCTGCAGAACACTATTTCTCCAACTTCTTACATGATTTAAGGAACAAGCTCTGCAGTACATTTGCAGTTGGTGTCACTGTCAACAGCTTAAAGACATAAGCATTTGTTTTTATATCGTCTTAATTATCTTTGATGCAAGTCTGTGCTTCTGAGTCATTAACTGGCTTAAAAGAGGCATTTATTCATTTACCACAGCAACACTTGCAAATAAATTCAGAGACATCCTAAACACATCCCTTCTGTAACTTTTACTAACTTTGTTTTATGTTTCATAATTGAAGAAAATATGGGGTGTGGTGGTGGTGGTGGTGGTGGTGGTGGTGGGGGGCGTTCCCTAAATTTGTTTTTTGCACAACACCTTTGTTTAATAGCACTTAGAGGAGGCACACTTGGGAAGACTTTCACCTACTTGTGAGAGTTTTAGTTGTCTGCCTCACCCATCAGTACAACCCGTCCAACTTTACAGAGTTGTCACGAATCATGCGTCTTGTAAAAACTCTGCATCCGTACTGTTGTGTTAAGACACTGAATGGATTGTTTCCATTTTCAGGTTTGGAGTCTCTGCGAGACAGTGCCCACTCCACACCTGTGCGCTCCGTCTCCCATGGTGACTCCTTCATGTCTTCCCGGGGCCAGATAGAGGACGGCGGCGAGGCAAGCACATCAGCTGTGATCTCCGACGAGGTCTACAGCCCCTCGGACAGCGTGCTGCCCTCGCCTGTGGCGGAGCATGGGGTGGAGATGCCTTTGGCTCGTCACCTCAACGGTGCACCCCGCAGCATCGATGAGGAGTCAGAGATGGGGGTATTGAAGGAGGGACAGGCCACAGAGTCTGGGCCCGGCAAAAGAGCACTGCACACCGTCAGAAGCAAGCAGTCATCACAGAGCGACGTAGAGGAGCTGAATAAGTTCATCCTAAGTGTGCTGCGCCTGTTCCTGGTCACCATCGGCCTGCTGTTTGCCCTGCTGCTGCTCCTCATCATGCTGACAGAGTCAGACCTGGACATTGCTTTCCTTAGAGACATTCGCAAGACACCCGAGTTCCAGCAGTTTCACTTTGAATATTTCTGCCCTCTGCGGCGCTGGTTCGCCTGTAAGTTACGGTGGATGGGAGGGTTCCTTGTCAGCGACGTGAACTGAAAAAACAAACTGAAACTGAATGACTTAAAGACCATCAGTGATGAAGATGGGGAAGGTTCACCACACACGACAGCAAATGGGGGAGAGGGTTAAGTTAACTGCCTTGGTAATAATATTGGAATAGCTACTCCCATGAATGATTTCCTGTCATAAGTTACAGACTGTATACCTATCACAGACAAGAAATCACATTTTACTTTAGAAATTCACATCATCTCAAGGCTTTTTTTTTTTACACAAAATCACAGAAACAGGGTTTAATTAAAATTAAGTCTTATAGACTTCACTTATTTAACCAGACTTTATAGTTGCCTTTATTTTTTTAATTCATTGATAAAGTTGTAACATTACTACAACAAGAGTGACCTGGAGTTTGAGGTGTTTTGGGAGAACAGAGTTTAGGTCAAGTTTGAAGGAAGAAAGCAGGAATGTTACATTAAATCAAATAGCAACATTTGCGATTGGATCTCATAATGGCACCTTTTCTACAAGAATGAGTATTGTGGCAGAGCAGAAAATATGAAACGGATAAGAAAGAACTGCATATTTGAGTCATTAAAATACTGTTTAATACAGCTGTAAAGCAAATGCTAATACACTGTACACACTCCTCAGTTCACCAGATTAGGTTCGCTGAACTCAGTTCCTAAACATGAGTAGCAATAGCTTTATAGCACAGGTGTAATGTGACCTGCCAGGTTTTCTGTAGTTTGTTTATGGTCTGTTAGTTGTGCTCATATGAACATTAATCAACAGTCTTTTGTAAAGATGGAAGTAAGCAACGGAGGCTATAAGTTCACTTTTCATTCAATAGTAGCCAAATAACACAAGAAGCCACAATCATTTTCTGTGTATGAGGACTAGTTGTCTCTTTGTTGTTAACTTTTGCAGCAGTTGTAAAGGTGAAGGGACAATGTGAGCTAGCACTGTAGTAATAGTCAAGTGTTGGGCTAGTTTTTTATTTCCCACAATCCGTAGACTGAGTTTATCTTGATGTGCAATAACAATATATATATATAAAGACAATTTATCTCCATTAAAGTATTTTCCTTTAATTTACCTACAGTGCCCCCACCCCAATGTATAAACGTAACAGAACCTTAAAGTGATTTGTTAAAACTTTGTTTAGCCCTGCTGTATTTAAATTTATGTTTATATGTAAAGTTCAGTATATTTAAATCACAAGTCCGATGTTTTTTGTACAAAATGCTGGTCTTCTTAATGTATGGAGGCTTCCTCACAGTGACTTTATTGTATTTGAGCCTAAGAGAAGTAATGTTTACGTCCCATACTGCTATGTTCACCAACCAAAGAACCCTCTGTTGTCTCGTACACGAGTCAGTTTGCATCGACAGAAAGAAACTCCAGTCTGTTGTTCTCCTTCAGCCTTATTACTTGGGTCCTACAGACTAGCTGACAGTGTTGTTGGTCATAAAAAAAATTAAAAAAAACTATTCCTAAAGTGCTCAGGATAAGTGTTTGTATCAAAAAAATGTGTGCAAGTGCAGTTTATCAGCAGGTATATATATATATATATATATATATATATATATATATATATATATATATATATATATATACATACACAATACTTAATACCAGACAATGGTGGTATTAAAGGCAGAGCCTGACCGATATGGGGCTGGACAGCCGACTCGGGGCCCGAAGGTCCCGGGTTCGATCCCCGGTCATTGCATATCTCGTGGTGTCTCTGAGCAGGACACCTTATCCCCAGTTGCTCCCTGGGCGCTTTCTATAGTTGCCCATTGCTCCACCTGGTGGTGGATGGGTTAAATGCAGAGAGCCAATTTTGCCATTGTATGGGAACATACAATGATGACAGTACATAACACATTATTATTATTATTATTATTAATATTATTATTGGGAGGGGAAGGCGACAGGCAATAACCGATGGCTGAATTTTTTTTTTGCTTTGGCCATCCCCAAAAATCTAAGAAAACAGCGAGTGGAGAGGAGCTTGTTCGTTTAGCACGGCTGTTAGCAACCATGAAGCTAAGCCAATCAGACCCACCTATACCTAGACCTGCAGTAGGTTTACAAGTGGTGCAGTGGTCATAAAAACAGTCCTAACATGCGTTCACATTTTCTGTCCTCCACTATGCACCATAAAAGTTATCAAGTGTGTTACATAAATATAAATTAAACAAAGAAACACCCTTCCTTTTTCATTGTTTAAACAGACATGTATGGTGAAGGCCTAATTAGTATAGACCGTAGCGGTGTTTATTTTTTATTTGCAGAGAAATAAAGATTTCAAACAAATGCATTTCATTGAGGACAACAAAGATAAAGTTATTAACACTGATATGCATTTACAGCTACATTAATTTTATTGTTCAGAATAAAGTTTTATAAGGCAATTGGCTATGCTAAGTTATCAAAACATTAGCTTCATAACTTGAGAAGCACGTAGCTAATGACAAGCAGGTTGAAGGATTAAAGATAATTTTTTTTTTTTTTTTTTTACAAATCAGTTAAAATAAACTTACTCTGTTCAGCAAAAAAAAAAATACTACACAGTATTGCTCCCCGTTTCATCTGCGCTGCATGTGAAAGTGAAACTTACGTGAACAGCAATGACCTGAAAGTAGTATTCATGCGCACTCTGCTGAACACATTGTACAATTACAGTTGGTTGTAGCGTTTTAGAGGTGAACATTAGAAGTGCTTTTATCGGTGCATAATGGGACAATTATCACTGATTTCGATATGTCCGCAAATGTCTTTGTTGGCCTAAATTATTGGGCCTACCAATATATCGGTTGGGCTCTAATTAAAGGGGTTTTGGACAGACAGGTACTAGTAAATAGTGCAGAAGGATATTGTATTTATTCACCAATTTTTTCTAAAAATAACAAAAAAAAAGAATCCCCAGATTCGAAGTCAATACATGACTACAATAGTATTCACACCTTTTTAAATGCCGATTTTAATTTTCTACAAGTTAAAAATAATTCAAAGCATTCATTCTTTGCTTTTGGACTTGTATATTTAAATATATATAAAAAAAAAACAATTTTAACAAATACTTAATTTTGAACTTAATCAGATGCTACTGTTCTTTTTTTCTTAGTGATCATTAGCAAATAAATGAAACGTCAATTTGTTGCACTTGTGTAAAACAAAAAATAGGCACAACGTAATACAACTCTGCCTATTTATTCAAACTAAGACCATTAGCTGCAAAGTAGTGTTTGTGTCCATCGTCAAGACTTGCAGAATATTTCGTTGAATAAAACAGGCTGTGGAAGCATGTGGGAGAAAAAACTGCAGCCCTGATTCTAAAGATGTTTAACATTTTTATGTAAATCACATTCAAGCATTTTACCTTCAAACTCATTTATACAAACTGATTAGATTTTTGTGTATAGTTTTATTAGAGGATGTTAAAACAGTGAATTCATTTTAAGTTTTCTAATTTGGGCCCTTTTGCAACATAAATCAAATATAGAGCATTTTTCTAGGACCTGAACAATCATTAGCATAAATCAGATTACAGTATTTATACTGATTTTATTTGAAGTGGTCCGAATCCGTTTTACACTATTTGAACTGGCATAATGAAAGCATGGCAATTACACTTTAAGGAAACTTGTTCAACTGAATCATGTTAACAGAAACAAAATGCCCAATATGTCGTTACTGAAAGCTTCTGTCACGCACCATGGTCCACAATGTTTTCTGTAAGCATGTGTTCTGCATCCATTACCTCCTAACAAGGCTGCTTAAATCCTATCATTGACAAAGACTGGTGTAAAATATGAATAAACATCTATTCTTTACATATTGTAGTTTGTCTGCCTCCGAGTTCAATTTTACAAATAGCACAAGCAAATATAAACTACTGTAAATTGTGTCCACGGCACGAACAAACTTGCACTCACTTTCTAGTGTTTCTGCTTTAAAGAAAACTATAGATGATGCTGTAATTTTGTTACATTATTTTCCTCAGGTGAAAAAACACAAACAGGTGGTTTGTGTGAAATCCTAAATTTATGCAGATTTGGTCAGTTTTTACGTTAAGAGTGTTTTGTCTTATATTGACTGTGTTGAGGTCTTTTTATTTATTTTTTTGGAAGGGGATGTGTGCATGAGGGGACATTTTCCTGGCAGGTCTGTTTTTTTGTACCGCTCTGGTTAGAGAAGGAGAACCCTCTCTTCTTCTCGTGTCCAGCCCCTGTTCAAGGCCACAGCAGAAGCTTCAGACCATCAGCTCGACTTCAGAAACCAAGATCCACAGGCCCAGAGGACGAAGATGAGCTAAATTCACTGAGCTCAGACATCACGCCCTTTAAGACTCGAGACGGTGGAAAAGGGTGAAAGTCCAGCAGGCTGAAAACAGGAAGGAAGAGAAAGTAACCATCTGGCCAAGATGGCCTCAAAACCATTCACCCACAATCTAGATTTTGGGACCTGAGGGGCCAACTCTGGCGTTTTGTTTTTGCCCATGAACTCTGAAAGAAATCAGCCCCGAGTCTTGTCAGAGAAAGAGTAGAGGAGAGAGATGATGTGAAAAACGCAGGACCCATCTGTCTGTGAGTCAGACACTCTCGTCAGCCGACCTGAGCAAGCCTCAGGAGGACGAGGAAGGGGGGTGCAACTTCAGGCCTCCTCACAATGACTCACTGCCAGTCACCAGACGAGACCGAGGGATGGACCGACCGGTGGAGCAGACGGTTGTCACCAAAGTCCATCTTGAAAAGTTTTTTTTTTTTTTTAAGTAATTTTAAAATATATTTTTAAAAATAATTAAATGGGGGGAGATTTTTTTTAACCTTTATTTAACCAGGTTTGTCCCATTGAGATCAAAAGATCTATTTTACAAGAGAGACCTATTGAAATACTGAAGGAGAGAGTTTTGCTATTATTTTTAAATCTTGCTTATTATTATTTTCATGTCTTTCAACCGGCTGAAGAAGAGTCCTCAGCGGACGTGCGCTGCTGAAGGCTTATTTGAGTAATGAGTTGATGTAAGGATAATTAAATTATCCAATAGCCATAGAGTAAATAAAATACTGTTTTATTCAAAGGTTTTATATTAGAAAACAAACAAGATGAATCCAGTAATGGGGCTTTTTCAGTCACAAACATACAACAAACTTCTATAGTAAAATGCCTCCTGTGACATCATTTTCACTGATTAAACAGGATGCAGTAAGGATTATCTAAACGATTAACAGAAAACTCCTGTCAAACCAACTAACCTACATGACAAAGTATTTTTATTTAGGAAGTTCTAACGATGGCTGGCAGCAACAGGCTGTGAGCACACCGTAGAAAAGTTATGACCACACTGTTCAGGAAAAAAAAAATCTGAACAAAAAGATCTGCAACAATAAAAATTAATCTGCTAGATGATAATCAAAACAACAACGGTTTTACAAAGCATGAAACAGATTGTCATTTTGTTGCTTGAAGTAACTCAACGCTATAAAGTAAACATTTAAAAAGAATTGTACCAACATTTACTACAGTGGTTAAGTTACGCAGCCTCTGCACAGGCCGAGCTGGTTGGTAACTAATTACATAACACTTAAATGGAAAAGAAACATGAATAAACCTGAAAATATTCAGACTGAGATGAAATAACAGTAAAAAAAAAAAAAAGTGAAACTAAAACTAGAAACATAAAGGCTACAAAAGTAACATTTTATATGAGCAGCATCAGAGGGGTCTTTTACATCAAACTATAACAGAAGGCACCATACCTGAATATTTGTAGAATACAACTATTTTTTTAACAAAACTGACTAAATGTAGAGATAAAATTGTTGCCATTAAAAAATAGACATTACTACAACTGCCTCCCAAAGCAGCACAACTTTATGATGCAACTACATTAAATATGTGTTATTTCACAAATATGTTCAAAGTGTTGACATTTATCCATGCATTGGAGATGATACAACTTTATTATCTCTTCAGACCCTGCTGAGACCTACCTGGGATGTTGGCCACAAACTTCAGTCTTCAGTTTAACTAGAAAACACATGAAGGCGTCCTGATGAATTCCCACCCAGTAAAGCGTTCCTCGTGGGGTGGAAAGCAGTGACAGACTGGACTGTGTTAAGGTTCTCACTGTCCATAAAGGAGTGCAAGACTTGGCCGCTTTCGTGGAACACCTGCACCTTTCGAGGCCTCATCATACTTCCCACCACAAAGCAGTCTTCCTGTTTGGGGTCCCATACTGCAGAGAGCTTCGACAACCAGCGCCCCGTCCACATGTCATGCCTGCAAACGCAACATGAAATTCAATTTAAGGAAAACATTTAATCGCAATTTATACAGTAACTAGTGATTCTATTAGAAGTTTAATATTGTGGATATACAGTGGTGCTTGAAAGATTGTGAAGCTTTTAGAATTTTCTATATTTATGCATAAATATGACCTAAAACCTCATCAGATTTTCACACTTTTAAAAGTACCGCAATTACTGGTCTACAGAATAGAATAGAAACAGCCTTTATTGTCACATGGATGGGAAATTCAAGTGTAACAGCAGCAACAGATAAAAAGATTTCACACAAAAGTTCCTAAATGTTAATAAACAATACAATATATAAAGAAATAAGATAAACAATACCAATAATAATGTTCAATATGTGTTGGAACATTGATAAGGACAGACTATTTACAATAAAGTCATATAGGCAGAGTGTGTGTTTTAGCAGAGGTCAGCATGTTTTTAATCCTTATTGAGTTTGTTGGGAGCAGTGATGTTGTAGAGTCTAACAGCTGCTGGGAGGAAGGACCTGCGGTAACGCTCCTTTGTGCATTTAGGATGCAGTCATCTGTCACTGAACGAGCTCTCCAGTTCAGCAACAGCTTCATGCATGGGGTGGGAGACGTTGTCCAGCAATGATGTTATTTTAGCTCGAGTCCTTTTGTCTCCCACCACCTGCACTGGGTCGAGGGGGCATCCAAGCACCGAGCTGGTCTTCTTGATGAGCTTATCTAGCTGCTTCTTCTCAGCTGATGATAAGCTGCTGCTCCAACACACAACACCATAGAAGATGGCTGATGCCACTACCGAGTCAAAGAAGGTCTTCAGGAGCACCTCCTGCACTCCAAAAGACCTCAGTCTCCTCAGCAGGTAGAGTCTGCTCTGACCCTTCTGTAAAGTGCATCAGTGTTGTGAGACCAGTCCAGTTTATTGTTCAGGTGAACACCCAGGTACTTATAAGAGTCCACAATCTCAATGTCCACTCCCTGGATGCTCACGGGGTAAGTGAGGTGGACCTGTGTCTGCGGAAATCCACCACCAGCTCTTTAGTGTTAGCAGCGTTGATCAGGAGGTGGTGGCACCAGTCCACAAAGTCTTGTGTCCACTGTCTGTACTCTGAGTCGTCCTCACCTGTGATGAGGCCGACTGTGGCAGAGTCATCAGAGAACTTTTGCAGATGGCAGTGTGGGGAGTTGATGGTGAAGAGGAACGGTGCCAGCACAGTTCCCTGTGGGACCCCCGTACTGCAGACCAGTCTGTCAGAGACACAGCCCTGTGTCCTCACATACTGTGGGCATCCAGGGAGGTAATCCAGTATCTACTGGGACATGTGGTGATCCACTCCTGATAACTCCAGCTTGTCACACAGAAGTCCTGGCTGGATGGTGTTGAAAGCACTGGAGAAATCAAAGAACATGATCCTCACAGTGCTTCCAGGTTTCTCCAGGTGGGCCAGAGCTTGGTGCCTGAGGTAGATGATGGAGTCATCCACCCCGATGCCAGGCCGGTAGGCAAACTGCAATGGATCTAATGAAGACCTCACCAGGTGGCGCAAATGGTTGAGGACCAGCCTCTCGAGTGTCTTCATCAAATGTGAGGTCAGAGCCACCGGCCTGTAGTTACTGAGGTCCTTTGGACGTTTAGATTTTGGTACCGATACAACACAGGAGGTCTTCCACAGATGTGGTACTGTGGTACCCCAGCTTCAGGCTCAGATTGAACATAAATCCCATGATGCCACACAGTTGATCTGAGCAGCACCTCAGGAGCCTGGAGCTAATTCCATCTGGACCTGCAGCTTTACGCACCTTGATCTTTCGCAGCTCATTCCTCACCTGAAGAGTTGAGAGGGACAAGATGGAGGTGGGGGAAAGGGGCTGTGAGATGAAGTCTTCTGGAATGAAGGGGGTGGCTAATGGCTGAGAGCTGTGAATTCCTGAGAAGATAAGTTGGCAGTCATTAAAGGTGATGGGGCTGACAGCAGGGGGACAGGCCTGGAGTAGACGTGGGGGTGGTTGGCTGATCAAATCTGTTAAAGAACTGGTTCGTCATTCACCCACCCTTTGTCTCCTACAGCCTGGGGGCTTGATTTGTGGCCTGATATGTTTTTAAGGCTCCTCCACACCCCACTGATGTTGCTCTGCTTCAGTTGATCCTCCATCTTTTTCCTGTAGATGTTTTTTCCATCCCTAATCTTTTTTCTCAGTTCTTTCTGCACAGCTCTCAGTTCCTCCTTGTTACCTGATCTAAAGTCTCTCTTCTTCTCCTTCAGGAGAGCCTTTATTTCAGGGTTAATTCAGGGTTTGTTGTTGGAGAAATGCCGTACTGTCCTGATGGGTACAGTGTTGTCCACACAGAAATTGATGTGGTCAGTGATGCTGTCAATGTCCTCCACATGAAGAGCACAGAGCTCTTCCCGCACAGTGGAGCTGAAACAGTCCCTCAGAGCTTCTTCAGTCTCCTCAGGCCATTGCTTCACTGTGCTCATCACAGCTGGTTCTCTGCACACCAGGGGTTTATACACAAACTGCAGATGAACCAGATTGTGATCTGAGCCCCCCCCAGGAGAGGCAGAGGTGATGAACTGTATGCCTCCTTGGTATTGGCAAAAAGTAGATCCAGTGTGTTGGTATGTCTGGTGTGGCAGGTGACATACTGGGTGAAGGTAAGGAGAGTGGAGGACAGGGAAACATGATTAAAGTCCCCCAGAGATCAGAAAGAGGGCCTGTGGGTGCTGTGTTTGGAGTCTGCTGGTGGTGGTGTGAATGATGTCGCAGGCTGCAGCAGCATTAGCAGGACATACACTGTTATCACAATAATGTGTGAAAACTCCCGAGGAAGATAGTGTGGTCTCATACCAACTGCTAGAAGTTCAATGTCCTTACTGCAGAGCGTCTGTTTGATTGTTAAATGTCCAGCGTTACACCATCTTTCATTCACAAACACAGCCACACCTCCTGCTCTCTTCTTACCACTCTGTCTCCGTTGCGACGCCCTATGCCTGCACGTCTCCCGTGTCTCTTCCTTCTCAGTTCGCAGGAGACATCAGGTCGCTCTGCAGGAGGAGACACAGCGGAGCGTGGTCGCTCATGCATTCTCCAAAAATAGAATCCATAAAAAATGAAAATAAAAACAAAGTTTTCAAGAAAAAAATCAGTTCCATTGTTGCCAAGCTGCTGAGACGGGCTGTCTGCTTGCATGACACCAGAAGAAAAAAAAAAAAACGCATAATAAATTTTAAATAAAAACACAATTTCGTGCATAAATACACCACGCTGGTGTAGAGGAGGCAGGTGTCCAAAATTTAATATCAGAAAGTGTTAAAAGCTCCTGGTGGAGTGTGCAGCTCTTGTGGTACAAGAATGAAACGCCAGAGGGTGTTTCCTAGACATTGGTTTGCCTTCAACACAAACAGACTGCTGATTCTTGCAGGACTTCACGATGATGAGATGCTCTCTGACTCATGGTTACCGGTAACCTACTACGGTAAATAATCATTCATCCTACAGAATGAACACAAACTAGTCCAAGCAGAGCAGACTACCTGTAATCCCTGGAGAGCATAGTGTTATACACCTACGTAACCGAAATTATTAAATAATGAACAAACCGGTAAATTTTACCCATAATCCCTACTTGAGGTCATGTGACCGGCAGTACCCGTTAAAATACTAAGGTACGGTAAATGTTCATCAAATTACTGCCACTGATTTTATGGTTAAGCACATTTTGGTAACAGCTGCCATTTCTAAAATGTGATTTAAAAATAAATTTCATGATTTCTGCTCCGCATATTTAAATATGTACCAGTAATATACTGGTACACAAAATAGGATACGCGGATACATGTTTTTTTTTCTTCTGAACAATGCCTTTAACATGACTGGTAAAAAGAGAAAAAATAATAATTCTGATGGAATTTTCCACTTGAGTGAAACTTTTCCTCGTAGTCCAAGTTCAATTTTAGGGGGATCATTCTCCTTAAGCTCTCTGGTTCCGTTATGGCCGTGGAACAATGGACCAGCTCTTTACCTTCACTAGGGTCCTTGAGAGATGATGGGAGTTTGTCCATCCTGTCCATATGTGTTTTAAGGCTTTGGATGTTGTGGGGCTGTCTTGTTTGACATGCCTTTGCAAAATCTCATGGACATCAGGGGCAGTGCCATTGGACTGTCAGACTGGGGTGGTGGTTCCCCTCTTCAAAATGGGGGACCAGAGGGTGTGCTCCAATTACAGGGGCATCACTCTCCTAAGCCTCCCTGGTAAGGTCTATTCAGGGGTACTGGAGAAGTGAGTCCGATCGTTGGTCGAACCTCAGATCCAGAAGGAACAATGCGAGTTCCGTCCTGGCCGTGCAACACTGGACCAGTTCTTTACCCTCACTAGGGTCCTTGAGGGGTCATGGAAGTTTGCCCATCTAGTCTACATGTATTTTAAAGACTTGGAGAAGGCTTCCAACTGTGTTCCTCCAGATACGCTGTGTGGGGTGCTCTGTGAGGATGTGATTGATTGGGGGCCTTTTGCTACAGGCTGCAAGCGATGCGCGAGTTTGGTTCGCATTGCCAGTAGTAAATCAGACCCCTTCAGGGTGGGAGTTGGTCTTTGTCAGGGCTGCCCATTGTCACCGATTCCATTCATAACTTTTATGGACAGAATTTCTTGGTGCAGCCAGGGAGCGGAGGGAAGCCAGTTCGGTGGCCTCAGGATTCCATCTCTGCTCTTTGCAGATGATGTGGTCCTGTTTGCGTCATTGTGCCACGATCTTCATCTCTCACTGGAGCGGTTTGTAGCTGAGTGTGAAGCAGATGGGATGAGAATCAGCACCTTCAAATAAGGCAAAGCTCTCCGTTTACCGGTCGGTCTATGTTCCTACCCTCACCTATGGCCACGAACTTTGGGTAGTGACTAAAATAATGATATTGTGAATACAGGTGGTTGAAATGAGTTTCCTCCGCAGGGTAGCTGGACTCTCCCTTAAAGATAGGGTAAGAAGTTCAGTCATCTGGGAGAGACTCGGAGTAGAACTGCTGCTCCTCCACATCAAGAGGAGCCAGTTGAGATGGTTAGGATGACTGGGAGGAGGCCTAACTGCTTAACTGGGTTCTCCATCTACTTTTTGGCATTGCGTAAAAATCTGATGTTTTAGGTCATATTTGTGCAGAAATATAGACAATTATAAAGTGTTCAAAAACTTTGAAGCATTACTGTACCTGATGGACTTCAGCAAGGGGGGTTTAGTAATCACTGAAGATGCATCATATATCCTGTAAAAATAAATTTAAAAAAGAAGACACATGTTAACTAAATATAACACAGCTAACCTGTGTACTAAAAAACACCAGTGCTTGCCTCACCTTATGTGGTCATCCATACAAGTGGTAAGAACTCTGTTCCCGGTACACGGTGAGAAATAAGCACTGGTGATGCTTTTAGCATGGCCATGTAGCTGGGACACAGGATGGGTTTTAGTCTTCTTCAGGCACCTGCTGTCATAAATACTCACCTCTCTGAAGACAAAAAGAAAACGCCTTTAATTCCACGTAAAAAATAAGAAAAAGAAAAGAAGAAATCAAGATAGAGATCTTTAAAGAAACGAGCGAGTCCATAAGTGAGTCTAACCTGCTCTCTGCCACTGCAAAGTACTGCATCTGGAGAGGGTGGACGCTAACACAGCGCAAAATCTTAGGATCGAGTCTATGGAGGGACTCGTGAGAGTTTCTTCAGAGAAAATTAGATAGACAAGACCGGTAAAGATTTTAATCAACAATGCCTAAAGTATGCAACATTTAAAATGACCAAATTCAGCTCAACAGAGATCATGTACCCTGGGGTCCGCCTATCAACAATGGAGACCTCTCCGTACCAGTTCCCAACCAAAAGCGTTGAGCAGTCATGTGACATGAAGGCAAACGTTTTCAGGTCGTTATCAGTATCGTACACCTGAAGGAGAGAACAAACCTGTTTACACGTGGCATTGACAGAAACATAAATCTGGGCTAAAGGAAAAGTGTTGAGACAAATTAATTCTGTGATATTTAACTGAAGACGTGGCGTCTCACGTACATCATCAAAGACGGCCTTCTCTACATCCATGCAGCGCAGAGATCCGTCGTAGCTGAGAGTGAGCAGCTGGGAGGGCTGAACTGTGGAGAATGCCATGCAGCCAACAGAACGAGTGTGGGGCTCAAAGAGCAGGACACCATCGTCTCCCCAATCTGCACCCTAACAAGAACAAACGGGGGCTTAAGGTAAAGTTTAACGTGTGCGTCAAACTTCAAACGTCAGTTCAACTAACAGCTTGTTTGAGCACGTTTGCCCTCTAGTGATCAAACAAAAAATACAACTCACAAAATTCCAAAGTCCCACTTTTCCCAACTTGTCTCCTGCAGCTATCAGCAGGCTGCTGCTGCAGGGGTGGAAGGCAGCAGAAGAGACCCGATCCTTCACCACTTTCACCACACTGTCCTCTGTTATTTCCATCTTCTGTAGTGCAGAGCAGTACCTGCGTTCAGCCATGAGTGAAACTAATCAGTTAAACCTCGCTTGTTAAAATTAGTGTGAACATATATGCATTTATAAATTTAAAAAAAAAAGTTTATCATCTTACTCTTTTAGGTCAAGTTTCATTTTTCTTTCTTTAGTTTCCTTTAAAAGAAAATCAATTATTTTAGAACAATCACAAATAAACATTTTAATTCCAAAAAGAAAGTCAAGTTAAGCCAACTTTACTTGTAAAGCACATTTAAAACAGCAACTGTACCAAATAAATAATGTTGACTTAACAGCAAGAGTCTAAATTCTGCATTTATTTAGTTTTTTGCTGGTGCTACAAAAATTTACTCTGTTCAAGATTTAGTCATGAGTTTTTTTTAAGCAAGCTTAGATTTAAACTTTATGATTAAGCAAAAGTCTGAGATAAGGAGAAGGTTGTGATACCTTGGAAAATTAACGCCTACCTCAGAGCAGAGCTCAACAAGTTCTGAAGGGAGCTTGAAGCCTTCGTCCATGTTAATTGGAGCCATTGGTAGAGGGCCAGCAGGTTTTTTGACTCGTAAAGACTTAAAAACAAGAAAATA